GCTTTTGCTTGTGAAAGAAACAAGGCAACCTTATGTTTGGGTCGTTAAGAAAAAACTAAACTTGAAAGATGTCTTATGTTCGAATTCTTTTGTCTTCGTTGCTTAAAAACAGGTAATGATTTTTCTTGTTTATACATAACTAAGTTTTTATGATCGAAACACTACTACTCCTATTGAAATTTAATTATTCATTTGCCAACTACTGCTCCCGTACCTATGAGTGGTACCTCATTCTATTGATTTGACATGCGGCATACCATTTTGGAATGGAAGAGAGTTCAGTCGACGGAATTATCTACTCGATCTGATCATATCATTATGTGATATGCCCAATGAAACCAAAGAAATAAGTTGACGAGGTCACAATATAACAAGTTCAATGCATATCTTGAAGGTTGTAGTTATATCTCTCATACATATCCACACATATATAAAGATATTAAAGATCATATTTGCTCATCTTTATCTTTAAATACGTACGTGCGAGAATACTTTTTTTTTTCTTTTTCAAAAGGACCCTTTTGAGAATCGGAATACTCATAGAGGAATTTCAGGTTATTCCTAACAACCATCATGTGATTTACTAGGGTCAAGAATCAAACTCAGAATGTGCCATATAAGATACGGTCCTGAAATTTGTCCCCAACCATTGGGCCACCCCGTGATGGTTGTACATGTGAGAATACTTGAATACATATTGATTTTTCATTTCATATACACCACTAAAGCGTCTTGTAAATTGTGGGAAATAATAATGCACATGAATTTTCTCAGTACTCACGACTTGGACACTTCAAATCTGTATGGACAGTATGGGCATTTTAATCAAAGAAAATAGAAAGTATGGACATGCATTTGTTTCAGTCAACTATACTACTAGCTAGAAACCAACACCTTCGTATAAAAGGTCATGTATTTGTTTCAGTATGGAGTCTATGGACATGTAGTCGGCCAGAAGAAAAATAAATATAAAAGGTCAAAACAAGAGAGAAATGAGGAAGATCAATACAGAAAACCACCACTGATGGGCATGCACTACTATGGACCTATAAAATCAATTTGTTTTATTCGACCAATAGTCTAATATGATTTAAATTACGAAAAAGAATTGTTATTGGCACTCAAAATTCTTTATTCTACATTCTGAACTTTCTATATTTAGAAAGAAAAATATACTTGTGAGGAGTGTAGAATGAGATTTTTGAAATGCCAATAACACTTCTCTTACGAAAAAAGAAACTCGAATCTGATTAGAGAAGTAAAAAAACACTAAAGTTGTACACGAGTTGAATCGAACTATATGCTCAAGTTTGGCTTGTATAAAATTTTGAGCTTGAGCGAAGATTATCTTGTTTTTTATACGAGTCAAGCTCAAGCGAGCTTAAAGAAATAGAATTCGGTACCAAATTCAAGTTTCGATCTATTTTCTAATTTTAAGGTTGTCCAATCTTGTAGCAAAAGTTCGCAAGTTGGAGACACATCTTAATAATGGAGTAATGAAACATATAAAAGCATACAAAAATTTTAAACATATAGTACTGAAAAAAAAGTAACTCGATTCTTCAAAAGCAAAATCTCAAACTGGCTTTTCGTTCCAAAGGAAACTATCATGTATTTGTTTAAGGGAAGTGTTATTGGCACTCCAAAAATCTCATTTTACACTCCTCACAAGTGTATTTTTCTTTCTAAATATAGAAAGTTCGAAATGTAGAATGAGAAATTTGGAGTGCCAATAATAATTCCCTTGTTTAATTCATTTTAATCTTCATATACAGTCAACATTTTTTAAAAGTACATTCAAATTGCAATGATGTAATTTAACCATTAAAAATTGGACATAAATTCTCAACTACAATGATCTTCGAGATCCTAGTATTTGTATGCTTGTATCATATATAAACAAATTACAAACATTCATGCTCCCAAATTTCATCACCCGTATATATTCACGTTCACTGGCAGCAGAAAATATATGGCCAACTGATCATGCAATTGGATCATTTTGTGAATTGTGCAGGCTGCAGGCTTTTATAAAAAGAAAAAACTAATGAAAATGATTTGAAAACTTTGAGTTTTAATAAAAATGACAAAATAAAGAGTAAAGTGAATAATACCAGAATTGACTTTTTAGTGTAAAAATATGATTTTTCGTTAAAATGAACATCACATGAAGTTTTTCGTTAAAATTCCCTTAAAAAAATGCATATATATACAGGGATATCATATTGGAGATTGCATCCTAATTGGAAGCACGAGCATATATAAATTTCCAATCAGAAATAGCTAGCATAGAGCCAAATCAGAAGAGGGAGAAAGAAGAAGGAATTTTGATTCTGCATATATATTAAAGGGCACATGGAAATTGCAGTATGACAGAATCGGTGACGCAATTTAGAATTGGCACATGCATATATAATTTTCTTCTTACACAAACAATTAAACATATGCACAACACAGACATGCATCTGCCATTCTTCTTCTGCTAGGGTTTCGCCTCCTGGTTCCAAATCAGCCCCTTCATTTCCACTATACTCCAGAAACCTTTTTATTACATAAAGCTCTATATATTTACAATTAACCGGGCACACAAGAACGTTCTTGCATACAATGCGTGATACAATTTCGGTGGTAAAAAACAGTAAATGATACAAAAAGAAATGTGACGATTATAGGTTGCCATCAATTAACTACATGCATCAGAATAATTACATTTTTCACTTTTCAGTATATATTGTAACGGGTTGAAATCGACTTTGATTTTTTACTACAACGACTTGGAAGAAGATTTAGAAACATGTAATTATACAAGATAATTTGATTGTCGACTAAGCTTAAATATTTATGGCGAACAGTAGGACCATTAATTAGCCGGTTGGATTAAGTGCAAAGCCAGGCTTTTCACTCTCTAAACTCACTGTCATTTTCGTTGTACGATGGATGATATATAAATGATGGGTCCAAGCTCAAGATAATTACAATCAGGCCTAATTAAGATTCCACAAGATTATGCCTTTCAAGGTCCCACCATCCCCTAGTCAAGTCACTTCCCAATGGTAAGAATGACACATGAATCGAAATTGCACGGAGGATCCTCTCCGGATACTTTTTGTGAGAATTTTTGGAATTCTTATATTCTAGTCATTCATCGTATATCGTGCAGTCAGTTTTTATCAGGTACTATTTGTATTTAATTTTAAATAAAAAAATTCAAATGATTTCTGACTGTACTATGTACGATGAATGACTAGGATTTAAACAGGTTTTCACTCTTTCGGACGATTGAGAAAAAAGAAGATTATGGGAGAAAGAAAGAACTCCACTTGGAAACAGCTGGAAACTCGAGAGGGTCGCCTTTTGGAAGCATTCGCCTGATTAATGACATATCATGTGTTCACTAGCATATAAAAATAAAAAACTATATGACTCATTCGACGTTAAAATAAGCATCTTGTACATGAGCAACTATATATTTAATTACCTAAGGAATAGTTATCTCACACAAACATTTCGATATCTTTCTTATTCATGAAATAAGTACGAAAACATAGTCTTAGATGATCTAATTTTTTTTTATTTTATTTTATGGGAATCATTCCAAGGATAAGATCATAAGATGATAAGCAATGTAATAGACATACGGCAAGTGATTTCCATGAGTAGCTTGTAAGAATATGAACATGAGTTCTCAGTGAACTGACATTAGCTATTTGGACCAATTAGTATAAGAAAGCCTTATAGGAAGATGAATGTGAGTTCTTGTTGATAGAGGAGTCTATCATAGTGGTGAACTGATGTGGATTAGGAGACATAAGTTGTTTCTTGCAGGGATTTTAATAGGGAATCCTTATTGGATTAGGAGAGATATATGTCTATATATATATATATATATATTGTGACCTCTACTCTTACAGATGCGCGCTTAATTAAGAACTAAGTCCTATTATTGGTTAGAGCTTAAATTGATCTGACAGAGAGGAGAAGGATTGCAACGCACTGAGATTGAATGGCAGCAGCTATGGCATCTTCCAATAGCAGTTCATCAGGTTAGTGGTATTGCAGAGTTCTTTACATATTTATGTAAGAGTTTTCATGCTTTCTTGTTTGTGATTTAAGCGACTTAATCTTGTTCTTGGCTAAATAAGTTAACATAGCTGACACGGTTGACTTTGATCACTACCTCGCTATCCATGCAGGTTAGCCGACATGTATGATGCACGAGAAAACAAGATCAATCGCCACGTATGTCCCCGTCTTGGATTTTGGGTACTCAACAAATTGATCAAATTGATCAAATTGATCATACTTTATCTTTCTTAATTTTCTATGATGTCAAGTGAAATCAAAGTCTTTACATGAGACAAATCCAACACCCATTACACCCCCATATACATATTAGTTATGGTTCAAGATAAGTCCAACTTACTCCTTTCATCATGAGAATTGTTTTAGCGTATATATAATCGCAGCATACCCACATAACGTTATCAAACTATTCATATTAATTATAATATGTTATGTGACCGAATCATTCTTACATTTAAATTTTTTTTATCATATCAATAAGGTAACGTAAACATGCAAAAAGGATATAAAGGACATGTTTGAAATTACATTTTGACAATAAAAAAGGATCATAAGGGCAACAAAAGTTAAAATTACTTTTGAGCTATAAAAAAGGCTGGAGAAGCACTTTCTTCACGAAGCACTTCCAAAGGAGAGTGTAGAGGCAAAATTTTGATAAGAGAGCGTTAAAGACTTTGGTTCCAAGTAATTACTAGGGGGGCTTGTAGGGTTTTTGACTGTTTACTTTTCACTAGGAGCAGTGCCGAGTCTGCTGAAAGCGAAGCACATAATTCATGAGTGATGACATGTTGGGTTTAAGAGCACATTAAAGGACGGGGTTTTCCCCAGTTGAGCCACATTGAATGCCACGCGGTTTTGCGAGGCAGTAGAAGGACGAGGAGGAGAGAGGAGAAAAAGGGTTGTGGGGGGGCTGGCGGGAAGTGAGATTGAGGTGCCACTACATCTGACTTTAGCTTTGCCTTGCTGCCATTGAATAAATGCCCTTGCTGTCACCTTTTGACTCTTTTGCTACCCTTGCCCTTCTGTTGTTGATATCTTTTGGGTCAGCGTCTTCCCCTATCTCCCTATTTCTCTCTCCTCTCTCTCTCTCGGCTTCATTTGTCTATTTATGCAGACCAAAACCTCCATTCTTTAGTATTGAGTCTCTTGTCTTAAGCATTTTCCAAGAAAGAAAGCATTTTCCAAAAAAAAAAAAACATAGTTCCAAGTGGGTGAGTGACAAGATAGCAAGACACTTGGGAGATTTTGTGGTGGTGATTTGATTAAAGAAAAGAGAAAAGAAAGGGAAAATATTATGGGGAGGCCTCCTTGCTGTGACAAAGAAGGGGTCAAGAAAGGACCTTGGACTCCTGAAGAAGACATCAGTTTAGTCTCTTACATTCAAGAACATGGTCCTGGAAATTGGAGGGCTGTTCCTACCAACACAGGTAGATTTTCTTTCTTTTCTAATTTCCGTTTTTGTTTTTCTTTCCATTTTTTGAGAGTAAAATGTTGGTTTTTGCTTGGAATGACAACATTGGTTTTGTTTAACTTCGAGATTAGTGGAAGATCTTAAAATTTGTGATATTTTACCTTTAAATTGTCACATTTTGTTTTCTTTTTCTTTGGGAATCAAAACTAATACGTATCGTTGTTCTATTTTGGTAAATCCAGGGCTGCATAGATGCAGTAAAAGTTGCAGGCTTAGATGGACTAATTACCTCAGGCCAGGGATCAAGCGTGGTAACTTTACTGACCATGAGGAGAAGATGATCATCCACCTTCAAGCTCTTTTGGGCAATAGGTAATTTTATCAATAAAACGCACCATATTGTTTAATTTTTAGAATTTCTATTTACATTACATCTAATAGTACAAAAGATCCAATCTTCAATTAATTTGGGTAGTATTGAATGTGTGATTGCAGATGGGCTGCAATAGCTTCATACCTTCCTCAGAGAACTGACAATGACATTAAAAACTATTGGAACACACACTTGAGGAAGAAGCTGATCAAGCTCCAAGCTGCAGGAGGAGGCACTGAAGGCCTTCACTCTAAAGATCAAGGAAACAGTAATTCTTCCTCACAGGCAATATCCAGAGGACAATGGGAGAGGAGGCTTCAAACAGACATCCACATGGCCAGGCAAGCTCTCAGAGATGCCCTTTCCCCAGAAAAGCCACTGGCTTTGAGTTCTGATTTGAATCCCGCAGATGGGTTTTCGATTTCGAACCTGAAAAAACCAACCCTAGATCAATCAAGCAATTCTACTTATGCTTCAAGCACTGAGAACATTTCAAGATTGTTGAAAGGTTGGATGAAAAACCCACCAAAGAAATCAGCTAGGTTAACCAACTTGGCTAATAATCAGACAGATTATCAGCATTATTCATCTAGTGAGGGAACCACATCGGTGGCAAATACTGCCAATAGTGGCAATGTTGAGTTATCTGATACATTTGAGTCTCTGTTCGGTTTTGAGTCCTCGAATTCCGATTTGTCTCCATCCACGTCGCCGGAGGCCAGTCTATTCCAGGGCGAAAGCAAGCCGGATCTTACCAGCGACCAGTTGCCGCTGTCGTTTCTTGAGAAGTGGCTGTTTGATGAAGGTGCTGCTGCTGCTGCTGCTCTAGGGAAATACCACTTCTTTAGTGATATGGTGATACCAGATCATGGAAATGCTAACATTTTCTGAGGATTTGCTTGTTTTTTGGGCAGATTGGAATATCTTAATTAATTGTTAGTCTTTTCCAGTGCCTTGATTAGCAAAGGGAAATTGTTAGAAAAGGAAGTGTAAAAATATTACTTTATAATTATGTCGATTGTCAAATGTCTTAGAAGTTGGAAGATAATAATTATTTCCCATTTTATGCCTAAGATTTTGTTCTATAAGATCTTGGAATGTTGTGATGAATTGAATTATCATCCACCATTTTGTCGCCTAGCTTCTTTTCATGATCACTACACACATATATATATATATATATATATATATATATTATTTTCTTGTTATTTTTGTGTTATAAAGAGTTCTTTCATGTTAGCTAGCTCTTGTTCTTGTTTCTTCAAACTTTAAAGTACTTGTATAAATTCAATCAAAATATAGATCCATTGTTTTCTAGCAAATATTTGCATTTGCTTCACCTAAGAGCAAGTCCACCCCTAAAAAAATGCACCAGCACCCTCAATGAATAGTGATAGATGCCAATGAACAATAATAGGCCAAATACACCTCCACCCCTAACAAAAAATAGCCTAGTCAATTTTATTAAAATTTTATTATTTTTTATTATAAAATGATAATAAAAATATTATGCTCTGGCCTGTTCACCATCCCCACCCTTTCATCTCAAGCCTTTTTTTCCCAGCCCCTTTATCCCCATAGCCATCGTCACATAGCTAGGCAAGTCCTGGTCCAGCGACGAGCGGACTTGTCGACGAAAGCAGTCTCGATCCTGGTCCACTACATCGAGTAGGAGCGCAAACGGTCAGATTCTGCGGTAAAATTCCAAAAGTGAAAGTCGTTGGGGTGGCATGGATGGGTGTGTGGATGATCTGGGTTGTTTAGGAGTCATTCCTGGAGGTACACGTTTGGTTTCTTATTTTGGGGTGAGATTTGAGTGCGGCAAAATAATGGATGAATGGTGTTATTGGGGTTTCTTATTTTGGTGGTGAACGCCCCCACGGCCAACACCGTCATGGCCGCCGTGCATGAGATTGCTCACGTCAGATGGCTCGGCATAGGGGTCTGTCGATTTTGGACCAGTCTCTTGCCTGGCTTGGGCTGGGTGCCAGCCTATTAGGCTGGGGTGGAGTGATTTGGCTAGAGGCCGGGCTGTTTTGGGTGGTGGGTGCAGGGCAATCCACTCCCGATGGACTTGCTCTAATATATGACTGAATCAACGTTTCAATAAACGATGAGTGATAAAATCACTAGCGCGTGAGCTGATTTTGGCTGTTTCTACTTTTATGAACATTTCATTCAATAGATTAGCATCAATGGTACTCTTTGTGCACAATGGCTTTCACTTATTCGTTGTGATGAAAGTGATATGACATGGATTTATGTATGCCAATTGAAACCAAGTCAACCATGCAGATAGCATAATTGAATGTTAAAAACTTAAAACATAAGTAAAGCCAACAGTCCTGCAGCTTGCTTGGTTAAAAGATAAATGGCAATGATACTCTTTCAAAGTAGGACTCTTATGGACTTTTTGTCACTTTATGTTTTTGACATAATATTTTATAATATTGGTATGAAAATTAACGTAAACTGTGAGGCAACAGAAAGTTCATAAAGAGTCTAACTTTTGAGAGAGTTGCTTAGCATTTCTCTAATTAAAAAATTAATTGAAGTAGGTGGAATCATCGATGAGGGTTTTTATGTCTAGCTACACCCTGTCCAAATTTGAAAGCTTTACATAAAATTTCTCCTACTATTACTGGTCTACTTAAACATTGCCGTCAAAAGCAACCATTGGGAAGAAAATTTAATCATGAATTTTAAGCTAAAGCTATTTCAATTAGGTACCAATCTTATCAAAATGATTAGGCTAATTTAAAGAAAGAAATATAAGAAATGTATTAACATTTGTGATTGTGTGACTGAGCACGGGTAAACGAAACTGCATTGCAAATGTGCAAATTGGCCTTAAAACGAACATGTGAAGCTTTTGATGGCTGGCCAAGAAAACTAATTGAAACACGTGAAGGGTTTTGATGTTCATCACTACTACTTGTCATTACAAGTTGTGTTTTAAACCTGGCCAAGCAAATAATCCAGACTGTAAGGGCAAAACAACCCCATAAGAAAAAGGCATGCATGGCAAAATGGGAATTATGGGATGATTGGGTAAGAATCACAGGTAATTGGTCCCCAATGAATACCATTCAAAATACGTACACAATACGAGCCATGCTGTCCAAGTTGCATGGTGAGTTACTAACTACTTGCCCGGCCCCTCTCTAGCTTCTTAATTTGATTTATCAGATATGGTAGTGGAATGAGCTGATTTAACTAGCATTATAGCCTATTAAAGACATATATGAAAGTCAAAGTTGATAACGTCCCCTGATTAGACATGATCATTAATTTGGTGCAATAGCATAATGTGGTGAAGTGATGGATGTGTAGGATTTAGGTGGAGAATTTTGTTATTCTGATGGACATTTATCTGTCCGGCTAAACTCACAAAGTGGGGACTTTCATAAATTTCAATGTAAGTATATGTAAAGCGTCATTATTTTTGTGAATGTGGCCAGATGGTAAGATAGTCCAACCATGCCTACAAATATTTGGAGAAAGAGACCGAAATTTTCAAGACAGTATCATAGAGATGTACTAGTTAAGCTAGCAAGTATATATTCCCAATTTTTAGTTTGATGTTCACATTACATTAAATTGTGACATTAGACCCCGCAGGGTTACCCCACGGTTATAATATTTTAAGGGTTTTGCATGTTGCAATGGTGTCTTGCTATAGCTAGCTCTTAGCTTGCAGTTTTAATTTGATCATAATACTATTTCCTTGTGTTTGTACATAACATAATGGACCCTCCATTTCTAGCTAACTAATGCTTTGCAAGTTTTGCCACCCTTGTCAACTTCCTGTTCCATGACAGAAACATGTGCTCCTCTCAGACATGATTTTCCAAAACCCCTTTTATGCTGTATTAACTGTTGCAAGTGTTTGTGTATGTGTTCTGAGTATATGTATTCATATGTATACATTAGATTGTACTAGCTTTAGGAAGGTGTTAGTGTTTGTTACGTACGCACGCGCAAGATCTTAACCGGCACTTAAAGTCAATGGCTCGATACATCCATGCGCGTACGTGACTAATTCTAGCGAAACCCTAAACAATACGTGTCTGCAACCAAAAATCTCATCAATTTAATGGCTTGCATGAAAAGTCGTCCAAACGCAGTTCCTTGTTATGTGCATGTGAAGTACTACGTGGAAAATGATCACCGGCTAACGAGGTGAAGTCCCATTGAGGTTGTATTGACTTGGTCTATTTGCCATGAAATTGAAATATACATCACATCAGTAGTACTTATGTGTGCAGTTTGTGTCCGACAATTCATTGAAACTTTTGGCACCAAGAGAAAAATGCAACCAATGCCGCCGAGCTTTCTAGAAGAGTGATTGATGAAATCTGGAAAAAAGATATAAATATAAAGAAAGAAAATTCAAAGACTGGCGAATTAAGAAGTTGCAGACAGTCACAGCATGAGGCGCTACCAAGAGTCAGATGGGAGGAAGCTATTTTTACTATCTCTTTTAATGCTACCACATGAGAGTGTCATAGGGTTTTGGTACTCAAACGAGACATTCACAATTTCACATGCATGCTCAAGAATATATATTGCACATGTAGTTTTTTCTTACGTACGTACTTAGAAAATGCTGGCTCGAAGGAATGGAAATTCAAGGCTCTCAAAGACATCGTTTTCACTAAGTCATAATTGATGACTAACATATAGTTTTTGTTATAAGAGAAAATGTGCTTTGGCATTGAAGCTTTCAATATAGAATGGCAAATGTATATATGTAATCCAATAATCTGCTGGTACGACGAGAGAGAGAGTACCAAAAGCATAACTTATCAATTGTTGCAAAGTAAGATGAAACCTAATTGTTTATTTGTGACCGTAGATGTTTGTGAGCCTTCATAAACATCGTTGGTATGGTCCAAAACAACTTAAGCGCGTAATTAAATTAGGAGATTGTGTTTTTCTTTCTAAAAAGCCTTTAGAGGTAGTAAGTTTTAAGTTTGCATATTATTTTGGATTCAGGTTTGCTTATTCAACCAGGATTGCGTGATAAATGGGTACCTTAAATTGGCCTAAATGTTATTTTGTGACAACCAAACAAACTCAAGAAAGATTATGAACAAAACCCTGGTCAATATGCACTACAGAAACTTAATCAAACACCTAATTACTACACCAACTAAGTATGTGATCAAATCAATTGATACAAAGTAATGGGTGAAACCTAAATGTTTATTTGTGACAATGGATTCATGTAGGCCTCGTTAGCGGGATTCACATGCTTCTACGTAAGATCAAAAACCACCCAACGTGTGGGTGATCGATTGTAGGCTCATGGGTCTCTAGTTTGAGAAGTCACAAAAATGGAATAGATTGTCTATACATAGCACACATTGAAAGGCAAAATATGGGGTACTTATTTTACCCTAGAAAACAGGTCTTTCATCAATACTCCCTACTCCCAACGTACTAAGAATAAACTTCTTTTTTGTTTTTATATAGTTTTCTCCTAAAGTCCTTAATAACCACTAATTTTTCAGCGTATCTTCTCAAATTTTCCTGTCTACACAGTTACAAGAATTACATAATGCAACATTCTTCTACATAGTTACGTATTTTATTCGAGCGTTTATTAACAATTGAGTGCCCAAATTTCAAATCAGGGATCACAGAATAAATGTTAAATATTAGTGAATGAATGAATAATATTCGTACATGGATTAATAACAAAATAATACTTGCGTTTATCCTACTTGTAAATAACGTATTTTTATCGTAAAAATTTCATAATCGGTCCAGTTTCTTAATTTTCATTTGAAGATCATTTCTACAAAAAATTATTCGAAATAGAGATTATTTAGTTATCCAATTATATCAAATAATAGACGGTTTATCATTAACCTATTACTTAGTACTTGCACCGTTGATCTATTTGATGCATTTGAATGACCTAACGATCTCCAATTCGAATGAGTCTCTGTAAGGATGATCTCCAAATGAAGATTAAGAAATTGAATGGTTCTGATTATGAAATTTCTAGTGTGAAGATACGGATCGTTATTTGTAAGTGAGAGAATGAGCTCATTCAAAGAAATTG